ACATTTATCTCTTAACAATTATATCTTTGCTCAATATACAATTTCATACTTCTTTAAATCTATATTGATAAAGACGATCTGATCCTTCAACATAATTAATCTGTGTTTATTTCTTCTATAGTTTAGACGCACTTAAACTCCCTGTTAGCAAATAATCTTAGTTAACTTAACGATGAACTGTTTAAGTTAACAATATTTAATTGAAATTTTTAAAATGCATTTATATTCGAATTTTAGAAGTAACTTCAGATCAGCGATCAATTTTCGTACAGAATATAATTGGTCAAAACTTAAATTGCCTATCACACTTCGGCAATTTTGATCGCAAATTCTATTGGTTAGTATAATCCAATTAGACGTGAACCACCAATACCGTTAGTCGCTTGAAAATTCAAACTATTAAGTTCGCTGGCTCACAGTTCGTAGTAATTAGTCAACAACCATTTATGGAAAATATATATGTCACATAATCAAAATGTCAAGCTATTCTTTGCTATTTTGAGTACCTTCGCCATTCTGGGTACAAACTAAAACCAAGGAAAATTCCCTACCTGCTAGGTCTGATTTGTATCCATAAAATCTTTACTTGTGTTATACTGATAAATTACTTTTTGGAACCTTGTTTTAACTGTGTTTTCGATACAGAGAAATCATGGTATTTTGTATCGTTCTAGGTGATAACACTGAAACTGCTTTCCCGATTACACTTCCTATTGACAAGAAAGTTGGGGAACTCAGGGAATCAATCACTAAAATAAATCTAATAAGTTTTACTAATATTAACGCAAAAGACTTAATCCTATAGCAAGTCAGTATTTCTGACGAAAATGTCGAAAGAATGAAAATTCTTAATACCAAGCCTTCTTCTGATATTAAAATTGAAGAACTTGGAGGTAATGTTATGTCCTCTAGGAAAAAAATTCAATTTTACTTCCCTGAAGATTCAGTCGATGAACCTATCTACATAATAATTGTCTGGCTACAACTGCCTGCCACCACTGGTAAGTGTCTCCCAATGGTTTACCTCTCGAACAAGAGATTCACGTTATCTCACATATTATATTTTTTATTTGATCAGGAAAGAGAAGACTGGAAGAGGATAAGGAAGGTGGAAGTCGAAAGAGAGGAAAATCTGACTATCCTTTAGAATCAAAGGAAGGCCATGATAGTCTTATTTCTATTTCAGGAAATAGATTAGATGAAATCATTAAATTCGTGGAAATGAATCGCGTTGGACTTTTGCGAAGTCCACCATCATCAGGAAAAACTACCTTAGGTCAGACGCTTCAAGACTATTTTTCTAATTGTGGTAGTTTCTACATAAGTCTAGCTGGGTTAGGTAGTAGAAAGCAAATAACCGAGGAATATTTTGAAAATTTCTGGAGGAACGAAGTTGGTTGTAGCTGGACAGAAATCAGTGATAACACAGGGACCATTTATGTTTTCATAGACGAAATACAAGTTATTTGTGGTAATCGTGCTGATTACTTTTGGGGTAAAGTGAAATGCTTATGTCAAGCGAAAACAAAAACAAAAATGATATTCATATACTCCTTTTTGGTACATACGACCCAATACTTGTGAATGAAATGAATGAAACACCTACACCTGTGAAATTTTATGATGACAATACTCTTAGCTTGAAATCCTTACTTTTAGCTGAGGGAGAACTCAAAGATCTTACAAGATTTTATGTTCGGATGCGCGTTTTGGGTGGTAACCCATTGTTTAAGATTCCCCAGAAAATTGCAGATGCGATCTTTTCTCTTACTGGAGGTCATGTAGGCTTGTGTCGATTTATTTTGGATTTGCTATACACTCATTATAAGGATAAATCAAATTATTTTCTAGCTGAAAAAAATGATGAAGCTTTGATAATAGGAATGTTACGTTATCTTGCTTCACCAAGTCTAACTATTAATGTAATGAAAGGTTCACGTGCATTTTATTGGATTGATAATTGGAATCCAACTGAAGAAGAAGCCAAATTTATTCAAAATGTATTACTTAACAATCAAGCTAGTAGATCCTTTCCTGTTGACTTTAGTACAGATAGTGTTGCCAAGAATTTTGTCAGAATAGGACTTTTTGTAACAGATTCTGGACAAGTACAGTTCACTGCCCCTATCTTTCGAGTTGTAATGAGTCACCACTTGTTTACCTCACCTCTTATAAAAGTACCTACACCCAACTTTAATTATTTTTGAAATTAATTATAAATTTTATAAAAAAAAAAATAAAAAAATTTAAATATATTTACATATTCTAAA